CACCACCACCGGCTACCACCACGACCGTCACCCACAACTATCGGCTACCACTATCACTATCTACCATATTCATGTCCTCCACAACCACAACCACAACCACTAGTATCATCGCCCACAACACCTCCACCATAACCACCATCACTGCCCATCATCACATCTACCTCCATCACTGTCCACCGCCACCCCCACCACTATCCACCATCTTCATGTCCTCCACAACCATTATCGTTCACCAATTACCAATGCTTCTACCTCAATAACCATTGTTGTTGCAACAATCTTTACCGTAACTTCACCAATTGATAAGGATCTTCCAAACCGAATAAAACATAATTTCTTCTTTATATGAATCGGGTTTTATCAAAATACCATCAATTTTATAAAAATCATTCAAATTTGGTACTATTTTATATTTATGCATATGAAAATTGTGTAAAAATGTTTATAAATTAAATTATTTACTTTAGTTAAGTTAATTATAACTACTATATGATATATAAAATCATAAATAACTTTAGGGGGCAACTTATCTAGTTATGTCATGTTCAATCCTAGTGTATCAAATACCACACAAACAATTGTTTTGTCCAGTTCTGTCATGTCTAGTTCTGTCATATTCAGTCATGTCCAACCATGTCTGCGTATCAAATGTTATCTAAAGGTCATGGAATCAAGGCCCATGGGTATTTTTTCACAATTTTTTAAAAAGTAAATGGGCCAATAATGAACGACAAAGGTAAGAACAAAAGAATAAGGTATTTATTAATTTTTTTAAATGTATTTTACTAGGATGATTTAAAACCTATGTTTTAGACCCTTTTTTATAGGCTTGGAGTCTATTTCTCCTTTCATTGTTCCACCGATGTAGAGCAATCTTTTAACCTTATCCTTTATTTTATCCAAACATTATTTTTGTATTAAGGATTTGCATTATTGGCCAAAAGAAAATGAAAAAGCAAAAGAATAAAATTGATCAAGTATAGAATTACCTTAGGAATTGGTTGGTTGGTTTTTTATTAAATCATGTATAGATAAAGTTGTCTGTGTAGATTAATTTTGTCTGTATAGATTGAAAAGATTTTCGTTTGGAAAGTTTCTTCATAAATGAAATGAGTTTTTTTTTTTTTTATTTAGAGAAGCATGTTTTAAAAAGATCAATTTTCTGCATAACTCTCATCTAAAAGCTTACTGAATAAGGGCATGTATGATAGTAGCTTAATAGACTTAATGAGATTCACAACTTATTCGGTCAAATATACATGATTTTTTGTAGTGGTTTAATGATATAAAAATTGGTTTATTCAATAAGCTTGTAGGGGGCTTTGTGTAGAAAGCCATGTTTTTTTCAAAGTTGTCTCTTACGATTAAAAAACACTCTACTTCCATTTATCAAAAACCCCTTCCAATTAAAAACTTTATCAATCTATATAGATAAATTAGTACACACGAACAACTTTATTCATACAGGGCTTAATGAAAAAACAACCAAACAACCAATAAGTCGAACTATCAAGTCACTACCAAACAATTAGGTATGGTTGATCGAATAAGTTGGGAGTCTCGTTAAACTATTAACAAAAAAAATTCCTCAGTTTTAAACCAGATGAAAATTGAAATTAAGCTTGTTTTGATTCAAAATTGTAAACTTAAAAATGTTGTCGTTTCAAGTTAAAAAAAACAGTTTTTAAATCATATATAACCTATTTAATAGTTTTTTCCATAATTTCAACTAAATTCTTTGAGAATATTTCTAACTTGTTCAAGTGCTATAGTGAATGTACCCTGCCTTGAAATTGTGGGTATAAACCCTTTGTATAAAGCCATCGTCCCCTCCGCCTTCACCATCTTCACTGCACAATCCACCACCCCTTTATACGGCGGAGCCACCCACCCATTCCTCCACCTTCGTATTCATTATTCTTGTCTTTATCACATCCACCGGATTTGACGCCACGGCCGCCACAAATGGGTTCCCTACCCATCTTTCATCACCCCCTTCGATAACAACGTTTCTTTGATCTGGTCGTACGACGCCAATTGCAACGCCGTCATGATCATCGCCCGATTCACCGTCAACGATGATCCTCTCCAGAGACTGGTTACTCCCTCCTGCTTCACCATCCTCATGATTGCATCTGCCACACCTTTGTAGTTCCTCCGTTGAGCCGCTGGAAGCCTCCGTCGGCTTGCATCCTCACCATAGCGACGTCTGCCAGATTTTCGACGGCAGCGCCGATCCCACCAGCTAATAACCCGGATCCGATCTTTCGGGTTAACGAGAGGTTACCCGTATTAGGGTCGGACCATTTTTGTTTAAAGATTTCGTAGAGACCCATTCTTGTGTCTGACGGAGAACAGTGGCGGAAATGCCGGAGAACAAAGCAGCAATGCCTTGAGCTTTGAAAATGTTGACACCCGTGGAATGGTCATTGTTGTGGCACCACCACCATTGACCACAAAAACAGGAGGGGGCATGTTTAGATACTACATTGGCATAACAATATTTCCTATAATACAGTGTCAGATAATTACCCTAGAGTCGGTCTTTCTATCTCTTAGGAATACTTTAACTTTCAAATACATCTTCAACATGCCCCCTCAAGATTAGAGAGGCCAATCTTATGGAACTGAGATGTAGGAAATAAGGTTTCAACCAAGATAAGCACCGGTAGAAGCATAATTGTCTTTGTTGTATGAAGTTCTAAAGGGGAATCACGGACACAAATAGCATAATAAGCGATTGACAAGAAGATGTTCATCGGTAGGCATGTGCATAAAGTGGGCCATTATGTTTGATGCAAATGAGACATCTGGTCGAGTTAAAGAGAGATACTGAAGACTACCAACCACATCACGATACCGAGTTGGGTCGGAAAGAGGCGTTCCCATATATATGGAGATTGATGTTGATCCAATCGGGGGTTTGAATTAAATAAAAAAGACATCATCTTTGAAATTGACAACATGTTTGTATGTTTCAAGCGAGGTGGCTGAAGGACCATATGATATCAACTTGTTTCCACTCCACTTCATCATAAAGACATGAAAGCAGAAAATCGAGTTGAAAATTAGTGTTTTTTATGAGAACAGCAAATTTTTATGGTACAAGTACATACCTAAAACTAGTCAAATTTTACGTTGCAATAGTTGAACAAACCTAAATTTGCACCCAGTAGAAGAGACACCCGAAATGAAATCCAACTTTAATTTATTATGTACCAAATTTAGAACAACAAAAAAAGAATAAGCAAATAAAATGACATGTTTAAAGAAACTGCTAATGTCAAATGAATAACACATGAGAAAGGAATGAATAAGAAAGCTTATTTAACATATAAGATGTTATCCAAAATGTATCAAGTTAAGATTTTACTTGTATGGTGCGTTTGGTACGCTGGACAGGGTGGGACAGGACAGGACAGAACACATTTGTCCTACGTTTGGTGTGGCTAAATGTGGAACTAAGTGGAACAAGCATGGGACACGCGTGTTCTCTCCTTACCCCTGGAACTAAGTGGAACAGAGAAATTTTTACTTGAATACCCTTCCCCCTTTCTTCCCCACATCGCACCCTCAATCGGCGCCCCTGCACACTCATCGCACCTGCATCGACGCCCCCGCACCTGCCAAAGACCCTGCACACTCCATCGCACCTTCTCGACGGCGACAATCTTTCTCCTCCCCATCGACGCCCCTGCACCTGCCAAAGACGGC